CACACACACACACACACACACACAAAGTAGTCACCGGTCAAACAAACTTTGCGCACCACAATTGCACTAATAAGGAGCCTTCCAAAGGATTTTTGCCTATCCCTCGTGCTTTCCTTTAAGTCAAGCTAAGTTTTTAGGGCGCTGTGCTGGCGACTGGGCAAAGATTTGGCGATCATGGTTTGGAACGGATCTTCCTTGACTGAACCCCGGAAAAAGCAACCTCCAAGACACCAATCTGAACGTCTTCAGGCCTCCGCAAGCCGAAACTTCTTCACAGCCAATGTGTCAAACATTCTTAATCCGCGAGTGCTTAGCGTACCCTCCTTGTGGGTTCCCGCCCAAGGTCGCTCAAGCAACTTTGGCCACTGGATCAGCCCTGCCCAACATCGGCAGGATCGCAAAACACAAATAAAGTATCGCACACCTGAACCACGAAGAAACTCTTTTGGCGATGAAACAGCTCAGTAAATATCTGAAAGCTTTGGGGTCTCAGCCCAGATAGGCTCGGCCGGATCGGCCTTGAGGTAAGGTTGCTCGAGGGTTCCAACAGGGTTCCACGAGGTTCTGCGAGGGCTAAAAAGAGCACCGCATGCTGTTGGGGATATAACTCTTTTAGCACAGTGCAGTGCTGTGAACAAACATATTTACCATCGATTAGCTGCCTGCAGCATCGGTTGTTCACTTCGAGCGTCACCAAAGAGCAACTGGTTCAAATTTTGGCTTCGGCTGGGCCAGTGGGTTGAAGGCTGGTTGGTTCGTTCAAGGTAAACAAGTTGAGATTTTGGCGGCGCCTGGAGAAGGGGTTTTGGGTGAGCGTATGGTGGAATTGGTTTGAGGTGGGTGCTGGGATTGTTTGGCCCTGTTTAAGATTGGCTTACTGTGGGTTTAGGGTTGGCTCTGGGTCAGTGTAAGGTCTTTAGCTGGGTGGGTTTGGGGTTGATTTGGTTTCGGGTCTTGATTTAGGGCGTGGGCTGGATTTCAGAGTGGATTTAAAACAGGGCAGGCTTGTGGTTGGTCTGGCTGGGTGAGCGCGCTGGTTTAGGGTTGGATTGGGTTGAGTTTGGGATGTCTTGACCGTGACCGTGACGTTCGGGTTTAGGGTTGTTTATATACGATGGGCTTAGGGTTGGGTTTAAGGTGGATAGTATCGCTCTAGGGTTAGCTCACGGAGAACTAAGGGTTGTGGAAAAGGCTTCAAGACGGCGGGGGCAGGCCTAGGTTTGGTTTAAGGTTGGTTTAGGGTTGGTTTATACTCGATTTAGTGCGGGCTTCGCACGGGAGGCCAAGAGACAAAAGAGATCGGGGCGTATTGTCTTTGATCCCCTGATTTTGTGTTTTTTGTTTTCATCCCGCACATCTTTCTTCGGATGCTCATCCCAAAACTTCTGTTGTTGGTTTCCCCTTCATACGAGGCCCGCAGAGGGTAAGTTTCCCGGACTGGTAGAAGGAAACCCTTTTCGTTTATCGTTCGGGGCCCCGGCTGGAAAGGTCGGGTGCCGAGTCCAGACATCTGGCTCCTCTCGAAGGCCCAATGTAGCGGCTGGTAAAAAATGAGACTAACATGGCGGCAACGAGGACGAAGAAAAGTAGGGGAACGCATGCGGCATAGAAAGTGCAAGTTGGAAACCCTGCAATTTGGTTAGTTACAGGTGTGGATGCGGTTGCTTGAATTGCAATTTGGGAAAGCCGTAGACGCACCTCCAGTATGGTTCTGCACTCTATTGATTTACCGTCAAGATCGCCTTTGTTGCCTTTAATGGTCAACCAGCCCTCAAAGGGGTCCGAAATGGCACATACACTCGCTTAGACAAACTACATGGAAGTATGCGATCAGCATTTGAGTATCTCTTGCGGTTGCCCATCAAAGAACATATGCTTCCAGCCATGCGTACAAGTCGCTTTCCAGGGAGGTATGTATGTATGTATGTATGTATGTATGTATGTATGTATGTATGTATGTATGTATGTATGTATGTATGTATGTATGTATGTATGTATGTATGTATGTATGTATAATTTTCCCAACCTCAAGGTACACTATTTGGCTCAGATTCTGATTCATATTTAAGCGACACAAACCCAAAAAGACGAGACCCAAGTATATTGGCCCCTGAGTTTAGGAGGATTATGGTCACGTACTTTTTTCCTCTTTCAAACAACCCTGTCCAAAACGAGCTCTAAAGCACAAGGCCCATCCATTTCCTTGCGTCGATTTTGACCAAGCCGCTTGGTCGCGGGTTGCACACCCCTCAACTGGATTTGGTTTGCTGGGCTCACACCGAACTGCCAAACCGAGGCAAGCAAACAAACCTCCTGCGGATTTCTGCCCTTTTTCTGGTGGGCTGATTTTGGAAAAGGGAACACTGGAGGAATAGTGGGGATCCCTAAACTAATTGTAATTCGTAGCGGGTCACAAATACGGCAAGGAAAACCAATTGTCTTCTGAGTGGACTAAGATTGGGTGGGCCAAGCGAGTTGAATGCCAAGAAGCGCAGAGCTACAGGGGCCGATCTGAATTGCTCCCCCAAGGGAATCCCCAAACTCATTCCCAAAACGTTGGGCCAGTGTTTGCGTTTCTTTTGGGCGTGGTTCCGAGTTTTTTTCGGGGATGCCCACTGCTTTGTGTGTATTTAGGGGTGACCAAAGTATGGCGCCTGCTCCAAGTCCAAGATCCAGGTCTGAACTCCAGCCTGCCGACGGCGCGTCGGTTTTGGTGCTGCGTTACTCATTGCCATCTCCTTGCCGGAATGGATTTGCCAACCTGCAAACATGTCATTTACTGCTTGAGTTCGCGGACTTCTCAATAGTATAAAGTCCAACTCAGGGAGTGAGTTGAAAGGGAGACCAAAGGGGAAGCGGGCCTGTTTGGGCATTTGAAGTCCAGATCATTAGGAGTTTAAAGGCCGCATTTTGGAGACGTACCTGCTCTGGTGGTGCAAGGTAGCTTTGGATTACATCGCGAGGACAAGACCCTTGGTGTGGTCGGCTAAAGCTGTGGGTATCAGACTCCTTGAATCCTTGCCAAACAACTCAGGCTTGTTACGAACGATTCCAAAGGCAGATCCGAGCAAACATTAAAGTGAACCAACCAGGGACACCAAACAGGTCGGCTTTTTGCAAACAGCCTCTGGCCAAGTGGAGCCCGTCCCACCCGGCCTGACGGAGCTTTTGAAGCTCCTGGTCCAAAGCGCTGCCCCGGCGATGCGGCAGAAACTCCTCGGCCTGAGTGCTACGAGTGATGTTGGAGTTTTGGTTCTGGAGAAGTTCGGGTTTGTCCTTCCAAAGCAAAAAGGGGCCACAAAGCCACAGGTAAACAGCGGCAATTCAGGTTGCACCATGGAGATTGCTTTTGGGAACAAAATGGAACGCTCCAAGGTTTCAAAGAACAATCACTCACAGTGCCACTCCTTGAGACTGGTCTTCAGCACCTTCTTGTCCGGCGGCCCAGCGGTTTCTCCGCACAAGACCAGCTCCTGAACACCTGGGCACGCGTGGCCGCGGCGAGTGGCATCCAGGGTAGCAGGGTCTAAATCATTGGCACGGGCTTGGATCTTGTGGGGTGCTTGGCAAACCAAGCTGCGCCCCCAGGAGTACGGTGGCAGCAAGAACCCGCAACTTTGGTTCCAAGCCGGTTTGGTTTGCTTCTGGGAAAAGCAAGCAGACACTTATCACGGGCCATGCCCTTTTGGTTTCCCTCTGGGACAATTGAACATTGTGGGCCATTTGGGCAAAAGTCAGAATAGCAAAGCCCCAAAACACGGAGGTTTTTCCATTTGGTTTCCCCAAAAACCAGCCCCGAAACACCAAACCAAAGAACCGCACCCGCTAGCTCCCCGCAAGAACATGGGGGGATCTCAACACAGGGGAATCCCAAAAATGCTGGCTGGGTTTTCCTTCACAACCGAGCAACGAACCCAATTGGTTCCCTCACCAGCCCTCAAGTTTCCTTTGGCTTCAAACGTTTTTCCCAAAACCTTTTGCTGAAACGGCCCCCGCGCCCGGCAAGCCCCGGCACCGGCCCCTGCCTGCAGCCTCGCAGGTGCGCAGCAGGCAGCCCACCTCCTGCGGCTCGAGACCATCCACCAGCACCGACAGCGGCACGGCGCCTGCGCGCAGATTGACGAGGGACCTGTTGGCCTTGTTTATGGGCTCGGGTTGATCTTGATTGTGAATGTTTGAAGACTACAATTGTTTTAACGACCTCTTGGTTTCCTTTTGAAGGGAACCAGGGGTTGGTTGAGGCCAAATCCCGGTCTCCTTCAAAGGGACTTTCAACGCATTGCCCAACCCAACCGGTCAGTGGCCTGGTCGGTGGCCAGTGAACGCACTGGCCCGGACACGCGGGATCTGTGGGGCAAAATGAATCCTTTCTCTTCTGCAGGTTCATCTGGAATCCCGCAAACCCCCTTCTGTGGTTTTCCTTCAACCTTGCTTTGCGCGTTTTCCCCAAATTCACGTTGATTTCCGTTTTATGGGACCGCCAGAGTTGTTTTGGCCAACAGATTGGAGGGAGAGCCTCTTGTCGGTGCAGTCAACAAAGACGGCAACTGCACGATGGGCGAGCAAAATCACCCTGCTTTCCCAGAGTGACCAAATATTGCTTCTTGCCATAAAATCATTATTCGCCTATAGCACCTTTCTGAAACTTCTGCCATTTGGACATATACTTTCCTCCGGCCGCATTGGGAAATAGGTATCAGCCAGCTCACCTTGGAGTTATTTTGACAATTTGAGCGCACGCATCCCTCATGTTTAGTACCACCGACGTATCGACGCCGGTCCTTTTAGGGTGGTGAAGGGCATTCAAGGGAACGCTCATTTTCGAGGGTTGCCACATGTGGCTTGTCTCAAACTAGGTCTGAAGCAACCCCCGCGCTGTTTGCAGTTTCTCGCTCGGTTTCCCCTTACTGTGACAAAGGTGCTTTTTCTAGGCTTCCCTTTCGCGGGGTGGCTGGGGGGAGAATGGGCACCGTACTTTGCGATGCCATTTTGAGACACAC